AAAAAAACTCGTTCAACCCAATACTCGCAGACTAACCCCATTTCCAATCGGGTAAACGGGACAGAGGCAAGAGCGGGACGAGGGTTGTTGCCTTGAAGCGGGTATGGAACGGGTATGGAAAACATGGTCCCCACCCCGCTACTCTTCCCGTTTAAAATTAATTTCAAATTTAAATTTCTTATCAAACAAAAATAAATGATTTATTATCATTATTAAAGATATAAAAAAATAATAAAGAATAAACAAGACCCTCGCCCCGTCTCGTCCCATTCTGTTTTAACTAGGTATGCACGTTGGATAAGGTAACAAATATATCCAATGGGACCAGGGCGAGAATGATTGACATGTTTCATACTCGTCCCATTGCCATCTTTATCCAAACTTGAGATACTTTGATCTAAGTAGTCTATATAGTTGACCATTATCCCTTAATTATGATAAATGTTTATCTCGTTTGATGGAATTTATTTTGAATCACGACCGTTATATCATATATAACAAATTCTATTGTGATATAATTCTTGAGACTACTTTTTATGTGCTCATAGCTTGGACTAGACTCTATTGACTGTGCATAGCCAACCGACATGAAAAACCCCGATAAGATTCCAATGCTAAAAAATATAGCAGTAACAACTTGCAGTTGATAAGAGTCCGGGCCACAACTTACGAAGTTGCAATATATTCATCATCCATTTCTCCATCAGTCCCCACATGAACATGCATTGTTTCTTTGTACGAAACATGCTTAGCTAAGTTATATCTCAAACAAGTGTCTGTATCCTACCTTGTCATTAAGCTACAACTTTGTTTATGCCCCGGACACCCTTCTCTCAAGATAAATATTTATACTTCACGTGTATTCTAATTGAATCTTAAAATAATTAATCGCCTAATCATTTTTTGGAGTCAATTCTTATAAAATATAATATACATGTAATGATAATCCATATATATATATAATTAATCGCCTAATCATTTTTTGGAGTCAATTCTTATAAAATATAATATACATGTAACGATAATCCATATATATATATATATATATATATATATATTGTTGGAACAAAGGGGTTTGGAGAAGAGACAAAAAAAATAACAAAAATTACAACAGCAAGATGAAAAATTCGAAAATTGTCAAGAACAAATTTAAAGGCTCGAACGTGGAATCGCTGTTCTCAAACGATATTTGCTCCCTCTCGAAATTGTATGAAATGTTTAAGGGTTTTGACAAACGGTTTGTAAGATTATATTAAACATTGTAAAGGATTTAATACTAAAACATAAATGCAATCCTCCAAAACTTTTGATCTTTTGACAATCCTCGATAAAATTTTCACTGGATGCTTTGAAGACTATAATTACTTACCATAGTGCAACACATTGATGAACCTTCTTAATTCTTTAATCTAATAAACTATTGGAAAATTGTAGCTTGGGTGCCCAACCTTTTTAATTATTGAAGACCATACTCCAATTTTCATATTTGCAGCTAAGATTCCAAACCTTTCATATATGTGACGAAATTCGTCCATTTAACTGTCAGTTAATCAAAAGTAAACGGCCTAACTAAATTTTGATAAAATTTTAAAAGGGTAAAATTGTAACTTTATATTATCTCATATAAAATAATTAATATAATTAAATAAAATTAAAAATACTCACCTTCTTGTTCCCCAAACCCAAACCCAAACCCCAAATCTAATTTTGGAAATAGAGATATACATCCATGCTTAGTGCAATCTTAATTTATATTTAGTTTTATATTACATTTTTGTCTATTCACATCCTTTATGGATCTGGTTTTGTCGTATGTAAATATTGAATTAATTTATGTTCAGAGAGAAAATTAGCAAATAAGGAATATTGATTATAACTTCAAACATGAATTGTCCAATGACTAGTTATTGAAAATTAAAATATGTTAATGATGGTGGATTCGAGATCTCAATGATTTGATTAAATTTGAAGAATTTATTGCTTATATCAGTAGAGATAATTAAATATAAATAAAATTAGTCCTATAAAGCACCCCGACCCCTCATAAGGTTCGTGAATTATAATTAATCAACTACAACAACCCGTTTATAGTTTTATTCTCCGTCGGCGGCTAGGATATTTCTATGTTCCTATTGTTTTTTGTTCTTTGAAATACGAGTACATGCCAATACCCATACGCAGTAGAAAAAGTGTAAAATTAGATTGGTAGGGATTAAAATTAGATTTTTATTAGATGTGATTAAAATTTTTGAAATGTGTGATTGAAAAATTATAAAACTCGTGGAATATGTAATTAATATTGATTATTTGACTTTAATTTAAAGTAAAATTAAATTTTAATAAGTCAAAATTAAATTTTAATCCATACCAAATATGCTTTAAGCAAACTATCTCAAGGAAAACACGAAGACTTTCCTATAAATATTGAACATTTCCCGCACTTTTTCTCACAACAAATATTCTTGTAGAAAGTAGAGATATAGAGAGAGAGGGAGAGAGAGATGGAAAATTATTCCAGCCATCTTCTAGCAGCTTTTCTTATTCTACTCACTTTAAGTACCACCATGGACTCCGCTTCCGCTGCCAGACGTGCAGCCGGAGAAACCAACACTGAGTTCATCAGAACATCTTGCAGTGCGACAACTTACCCTAAACTTTGCTATACCTCTCTTTTAACCCACGCCACTGCAGTCCGGCAAGATCCAAAGCTTCTGGCTCACACCGCCCTTTCCGTGACCCTCGACACCGCCCGTTCTACCTCCACCATGATGGGCAAGCTTTCCCACATTCGCGGCATGACGCCGAGGGAGGTTGGCGCCATGCGGGATTGCGTGGAGGAGTTGAGTGACTCAGTGGACCAACTGAGAAGATCCACGACGGAGATGAATGAAATTAAGGGATCAAATTTTGGGATGATTATGGGTGATGTGCAAACCTGGGTTAGCGCCGCCTTGACAGACGAGGACACCTGCATGGAGGGGTTCGCCGGAAAAGTCATGAACGGAAACGTGAAGACAGCCGTAAGGGAACGGGTTGTGAATGTTGCTCATCTCACCAGCAATGCCTTGGCTTTGATCAATAGTTATGCTGCCCTTCATAATTAGCCAAAATTCAGCAAAATCTCAGAGTGTATTATTGCCAGAATTGTGTGAACCAGTAAGCTTTGTGAGAAGGATTAATTAGTGTGCGCTTGCTTGCTTGCTTAAGCTATAGGAAGATAGTGAATTATAAGTTAAGACTGTAATTGTTTTGTTGTATATGTTGTAGTAGCAAAGTAATTTAAGTTTCCTTTTAAGTAATTCAATGGTTTATAATAACGATTACAAATTCGTGATTAACAGTTGTTTTTCCTCTACTTATGGTATGGTATTTCAAGATATGGCACATAAAAATTTCAATTTTGAAAGAGTAGGACACAAAAGTGTGGAAATGTTGTATAAAAAATTAAATTTTGTTTTTGTTTTTGTAAACTCAATATTGATTTTAAATTATATTCAATAATAATTCAAACTTGGATAATATTTTGGAGTATAGAGCTGAAGTTTTGAATTATTTTTAGTTGAAACCTACAACAAAGTTAATTATCAATTGAAGCCCGAGACAAAGTTTACATGAAGTATAATTTTCAATTATACTTTAAATATTATGGTCAAAACCCGTAGAGTCTCTCTGAAGTTTTAAATTTTATTTTTAAAAAATATAACTTTTTTGAGTTTTAGAAGGGTTTTCGAGAAATTTTAAAATTGCTTTCAGAAACATATCCATATTAAAAATGCTATTATTTTGAAGTATTGATCAGCTTATTATTTCATGGTTGATAAGTTATTAGTTTAATTTTTTCCTAAATAGTGATCAAGATGTTGCGAACTTAAAAGGTTGAGGACCTAATGTTATATGTGTGCTTTCGGTCACAATACAATTTAGTTTCTTGTCCAAAATTGTTAGACAATGCAACGTTTATGTAACACCTAGCTACTTTTACACACAAATAAACTAAATTGTATAAACGAAAGGTTTAAAAATCCATTATATGTTGTGTAAAAGTAGCTAGGTGTTACATAAACGTTGCATAGTCTAACAATTTTGGACAAGAAACTAAATTGTATAAACGAAAAGATATAAAAATCCATTATATGTTGTATCCTCACACGGTGTGCTGTCATGTACCAAATATATGGAGAATATATGTAACTTTTAGATTTGAAGGTCTAATTATAAGTAACAAAGTACACCTAGAAAAGTGATGGGAATGATCTCGTAGGTACTTTGATAGTTAAGCTGGTAAGGATTGTAAGAACGAGGGGAAGGCTAATTGCTTCAATTGTATGAGCACAAGTTGATCATTATTTATCTTGAACAGTTGGCAAAAGAGTTATTATGTGAAAAGGATTTTTTTCGTTACTGCAATCGAAAAATGTTGTTAGTACCAATTGCAATCCCAGTTGATAAATTAGACCCCCCCCCAACATGCATGCATTGTACCTCAGTGCAAGAGGCCCAATTGGCTTTATCTAGTTATGCTTGCTTGTCAATCAGTCCCCACGTTCACATGGACTGTTTCATAACACAACTTTTAGCTATGTTCATTCACATGTTTTAATTATATATTCATTTCTATCTAAAATAAGGGTCTACATTCTCCCACTTGTGATTATTGTACAACTATTGAGGGCCCTAACACCATGGTCGATCCATACAATTGGTACAATAAACAAATGGAAAATTGATAAAAAATAATTTAATTTTGTTTTTAAATTATACTCTTTTAACTCAGCAAAAAATTTGTTTCTTATACTAATCGAGTAAATAATTTTCATTTACGATACTCTAATTCAATAAATATAATGAAAAATTTGTTTTTATGCGAAACCTGCTCCTGTGAATAATATTAATTCATAATTATATTTATGACAAATTTTTATTTTTCGATAGGTATATAAAAAATTTATATTTGCCTCTGAGTATTTCCATTGGCCAATTCCCAAGACATCTCTTGTAAATTAAGGATGTGTTTCGGCATAAGTACTGAACTGAGTTACACTTAAATCTTAATTTATTCTTCATGTTTAATACCATTTAATATCTTCCACCGTTTCAAAATAATGTATTTGATCCCGTTTGAAAAAATTATTAAAGCAGTTGCGACCTCAATGGCGGCTAGGATTCTTTTTTGATTTTTCATTTCTTCTATAAAAAAAAATGTCACGTTATTATAGTACCAAAATAATAAAATTTCATATAATCAAACTGTTGTCAAACTTTCACCTTGGATAATTACCTATGAAAAATTTGTTTGCTAATAACTATTTGTCATACCGTCAAAAGATTAGCGATGTGACTTCAACATTTAAAATTTACCCACAAAAATCAAAGCATTAGCAATGGAATTTTTTGATGCCGCATATTCAGCCCACATATTCATACAAATTTAAAGATGAGATACATGTAAATTATTATCGTTGTTATTTTCATTTTGTTAGATAATCTCTCGATATTGGACTCTGTAATTTTAACTTATGTTCCAAATTAGTTACCATTATTTGATGCATGTAGGTGTGCCGAACACAATAATTGAGCATCATCAAGATATTATTGAACATGGCCAAAGAAGAGGAAAAATATATCTCAAAGACCTCCTATAAATATGGTACCTTTCCCTCCTCAATTTCTTCAAAATTAGCTTGAGAAAAGCAAAATTATACAAAGAGATAGAGAGATACATATATATACACAAAAAGAGAGAGATGGAAAGATTTTCTAGCCATATTCTAGCGGCTCTTCTTTTCCTATTCGTTTTCACTACCTCCATGGACTCAGCTTCCGCCGCCAGACCAGCGGCGGGAGGAACCAACACCGAGTTCATAAGAACATCTTGCAGCGCAACAACTTACCCTAGACTTTGCTACACTTCTCTTTCAACCCATGTTGCTGCCATCCGGCAAGACCCTAAGCTTTTGGCTCACACTGCCCTCTCCGTCACCGTCGACACCGCCCTGTCTACTTCCAGCGTGATGGGCAAGCTTTCCCACATTCGCGGCATGACGCGGAGAGAAGTTGGCGCCATGCGGGATTGCGTTGAGCAGTTGAGTGACTCGGTGGACCAACTGAGAAGATCCATTGCGGAGATGAATGAAATTAAGGGATCAAATTTTGGGATGATTATGAGTGATGTACAAACCTGGGTTAGCGCCGCCTTGACGGACGAGGAAACCTGCATGGAGGGGTTCGCCGGAAAAGTCATGAACGGAAACGTGAAGACAGCCGTAAGGGAACGGGTTGTGAATGTTGCCCATCTCACCAGCAATGCCTTGGCTTTGATAAATAGTTATGCTGCCCTCCATAATTAGCCAAAATTCAGCAAAATCTCAGGGTGTATTATTGCCAGAATTGTGTGATACAGTAAGCTTAGAGAGAAGGATTAATTAGTGTGTGTGTGCTTAAGCCATATGAAGATAGTGAATTATAAGTTAGACTGAAATTATTTAGTCGTATATGTTGTAGTACCAAAAGTAATTTATTTAAGTAATTCAATGGTTATAATAACGGTAACAAGTTCAGATTAACAGTTGTTTTCCCTCTACTTATGATTTTGTATTTCAATTTGTTACAATCCAAACCCAAGAGTCTCAAAAGAACACAGAATATCAAAAATGACCATTAACATCAAGATTCGATTATTTTGGACTCTGAATATCATTGTACCCTTCTATACAAAATGAAAACTCCACAAACCTAATCCCAAACAAATTGAACGGACCCAACCCTAACTCTGATTTCAACTTCTAAACCTTTTAATCGAAGAATCACAAAAACTCAACACATAGATTAACACCCCAAAAACCAAAAGTTTAAGGGATTTACAAAGTACACAAAGAAGAAGACTAAAGAAATAAGAAGCGACACGAAGAGACAGAAAGAAAACCCAAAAGCTTCTCAAACAAAATCAGAGGTGAAAAGTCACGTAGGGCAGCCACTCAAGTGACATTTATATTGCCATTTTATCACCATTGGTTTCAGTGAGATGATCTAACGGTCCAAAGCAGTACACATGTCGTCCAAGATTGGGATCGGGTATAGGCCCATTTCATTAAGTACTATCAAGCAATGGATAAGCAAGCCAACAAATGTGCAAAGCCCAATTTCATCATTGCCCAATCGACTTGGGCAAGACTTAATTTGGCATCACAACCCAATAAATCTTCCCCTTGATGCCAATGATCCAAAAAAAATAAAAAAATAAAAAAATAAAAAAAATGAACAATGAACTTCTCAGATCATTTGATATAAATTTCTTCATGATCACTAGCACCAAGTCAATTTTACTTGCAGCATCACAAAGATTACCCAATATCAATTCTAAGCATTTGTAAGCATGATTTAAAAAGGTTGAGAAGAAGTACCTTGGTTCCCATGTCAGCAAATTGAGTTAGGATTTTCTTGAGCAATATAGATTTCTTTTGGATTATTTGTCTAATAAAGTGCATAACATCTATATGCTTAATTCTTTCGTGAAAAATAGGGTTTTTGCATAAATGGATAATACTTTGACTATTATAATAAACCACAACAGGAATAACAATTTCATTTACCTCACTTAACAAACTTCTAAAGCCATAATGGCTTCAGTAGTAGCCACATACTCAACTTCTATGGTAGATAAGGCTACAATGGACTGCAATTGAGATTTCCAACTTCTACATATATTATACAAAGTAAACATATAAGAGGTAGTTGATTTCCTTTTATCCCTATCTCCTGTATAATCAGTATCTATAAATTCCTTCAAAAAGACTTCCTCTTTACTAGGTTTAAAATATAAGCCTAAATTAACAGATCCTTTTAAGTATCTTAATAACCATTTCATAGCATACCAATATACAGGACCAGGTTTAGCCATATATCTACTCGAAGTACTCATAACATGGGCAACATCAAGTCTAGTGCACATCATAATATACATAACAGATCCAACTACATTTACATAATGGACTTTTTGCATGTATTTGATGTTCGACTCATCATGAGGGCATTGATCTTTAGTAAGTTTAAAATGACAAGCGAAAAGTAATGTAACTAACTTGGAATCATGCATAGCAAACTTAGATAACACCTTTTTTACACAGTTAGATTGTGTTAAAACGGGTAACTGTTGGGATCTATTTCTTTAACGTCCATCCCCAAGATTTTTCTAGCGTGCCTAAGTCTTTCATTTGAAATTCAACACTTAGCACTTTTTTAATGTCATTTGTATCACTGATCTTTTGGCCTATTAATAATGTTACGTGTTGTCATACTTGGCCAACCTACGTGGGCCTATGGCCCATTCAATCTGAACCACGTGGCACTCTAGCCGAGGTAGTTTGTATATCCGAGGCCCTTCATGTCGAGGCCCATATGTCGAGGCCTGTGAAGATAGCCGAAGCCCTAAAGCGGAAGTACTACATAAGTGGTAGAAGCCCCGAATCCGAAGCTGAAGCAGAAGCCCCCGAACCATGAAGGAACGTCTTCCATGATCACTTCTCCCAAGAGATCTTTTACGTAAAGATCTTGTTAGAATGATTGATAGAACGTTTTTCATAAGTATACATGTTAAGTCTTGTCATTAGCATGGGGGTTCTGCATAAGCAATAAATGCGCAGCAAGCTAGCAAGTCAAGGATGATGCGGATGTTTGAATTAAAGAGTTGAGGCCACGCGCCACCTTATCTAAGGGCTGCCATTTCACATATAACACTATAAATACTTCCCTTGTATAACATTGAAGAACTAATGGAAGAATCAATACAAGAAATAACACTTTACTCTCTCTTTCATATTATCTTACAACACAATACGAGTTCATACATATTTACATTCACATTCTTAAGCACCGATTAGTAATTATTGTATAATCAGATTACGAACATCCCACTGGATTTCGAACATTCTCATCCCGCGTCGTTGAGCTACTCCCACGTCCCTGATTCTTTCGTTCTAGACCGTCCACGGGTCTTAGCGTGTAGGACCTTCGCTCACGTGTGCGCGGGTGGGTTCGGCATCTATTGGCAACACTTTTTGGGGTCAACAGATTGACATAATCTGTGAAAAATCATACCATAACCACAAACAACCTTGTGGTGAAAGCTTATTGAAGAACACTTGGGCATCCCCCTTGAAAAATGATTTGTTCTTGAAAAAGAACAAGAGGAAGCCCCACAACTTAGCAAAATCTGAAGAGTCGGACGAAAAGAAAATGAGTTCAAACGAAGACACACACCCCAGGAGGGTAAGAGAAAACGCAAATGTACCTCCTCCATACGCTGCCCCAGTAGCTTGGCAAAGACTCTACCACCACCAAAGAAGAGGTGGATTGCGAGCGACGACACTACTATCAAGAGAAATGGCTGCCATGACGGCCAACATGAGAGATATTGCTAGCCAAAACTTGGCTATGAGGGAGCTCATGCCCAAATGCAAGGCCAGTGAAGCTTCCCCATTCCTCCATACGCCCCTCAGGGGCATTACCAGCAAGAAGATGAAATTGAAAGTCATAGAACTGCCTCGCTAGACTATAGCCGAGGTAGAAGCTCGTGGAAGTTGATGCTTCCTCCAACTACGCTTCTGGCCGACCCACCGAGGTCCCATTGAACCATAATAACTTCCCACCTTCATATGAGCAAGAGTCAAGACATAGGAAGGCAGGCAGTGTATTTGACAAAATTAGCCCCACTGAACTAAGGCTTGGGCAACAGCAGACACACCAGCCTTGGACAAGGCCATCGCCTCCACCTCCGATACCCCAGCGACCGGAGGAAAGGCATGAAAATGCCCCCCGTGTTGCTCTACCTAGAAATAGGTGCCAGAGGAGGGAGGAAGAGGCTAGGAACTGCCCCAAAACCTTTCACCAACAACCACGGCAAGAGGCCGAAGAATATGATTCAGATGAACAGCAGAGGTCCTGTGACTTGGACGACGACGATGAGAATTTGCCATTCTCGAGGGAACTAAGGAGTGCCCAGGTTTCAAACAACTATGTAATGCCAAAGATACCAAAGTATGATGGGAGAGGTGACCCAGAGAAGCACCCAAATGCTTATAAAACTCACATGAGCCTAAGGGGCGCCACCCCAACTGTGAAGTGTAGAGCTTTCCATTTGACACTTAGTAGAGCGGCTGAAATTTGGTATAGCAGGTTACCACCTGGGAGCATAAGAAGCTGGCCCAAGTTTAAGACAACATTCTTGAAGAGGTTCGCGGTAAGCAAAGTGGTAAGCTTCCTATCATGCTTCACCGATGAGATGACGCATTGTGCGCAAGTCACCGACCGTGAGGCATTATCCGCATTAAGAGGAGGTTTGAACATGAATACCCTATTCTGGAGGGACGTGCAAAATCAAGATCCCACTACCTATGATGCCCCACTCGAGATGATGAGACGAAAAATCATCAATGAAGAACTGATTGAGCATAGGAACATGGCAAGTAGAGGCCTCCCACCTCCTCAAAGGCAGCGTGCTAAAGGGCTAACCTCCCACTTGATGGACTATCAAATGAACCAGGTTGGAAACGAGAGTTCTGGCCAAGCACTTGCCACCACCACTTTGAACGTGGTTCCTACCTTGGCATATGAGGATATCAACCTAATTACTGACACCCAGCAGACGAAAACCCCACAAGGATCCCGTAGGGAGAGAGGCCGAGGCCGGGGTTTGGGACCTAGAAATAAGTCAAATCAGAACCCACCAGGATACTGTGTACACCACCTGTCCTATGGACACGACATAGTGGATTGTCGAGACTATGCGCACCGCTCCCAGCTGGAACCCCCTAGGGACAGAAATGAACCGCCCCAGGCAAATAGGCCGCCACCCAGGCACGACAATCGACGTGGGCTTGAGGAGCCTGTTCCCCGTCAAAGGGATGTTTTCCCACGATGAAGGGAGCGTGATACGGAGAGACCTAGGGAAGGACGCAGGCACTGAAGAAATCGACAAGCCCAAGATGAGGCCCCTATCCACGAGATAGACACCATATTTGGAGGCCCATATGTCGACGGTGAGACATGAAACGCCAAAAGAAATTACGCCCGGGAAGCTAAACACCCCCTTTGGCAAGCTACATTGTGGACAACAGCTCTCGGAGGAATCAAGTTCCACCCATTGTCTTCACCCAGGAGGACGCTGAAGGAGTTCACTATCCCCACTGCAATGCACTTGTTGTGAGAGTCGTCATAGCCCGAAATGGGCTCAAGCGAATGTTAGTTGATAAAGGTAGCTCTGTCAACATTCTATTCGGATCCGCCTTTGACAAGATGATATTGGATCATCAGTTGACACCCACCACAACTCCTCTGTACGGATTTACCGGAGATATCATCACTCCAAGGGGAAAGATAACACTTGCGGTGGATATGGGAGAGTCTCCCCAAACTACGATGAACTTCATGAAGTTCCTCATTGTCGAAAGTTGATCGACCTACCATGGAGTATTAGGTAGGCCAGCCCTAAAAGAATTGGGAGTAGTTACCTCCATCCATTACCTATGCATGAAATTCCCGACGAAAAATGGGGTGGGAACGGTGAAAG